TCCCTTAAGGTCGAAAGCCAAAGCCTCCAGAATTCGGAAAATATGTTTTTAACATATAAATCTCTCTCCTATGTGAGAATATGCAAGAACTGTTTCTGGCACAGAGTGAAGAATCTAGTCAAACCACTCTTTCACTAATGATATAAGACCCATTAGCCATGCTCACTAGAAGACCAGCAGAAAGATCAGCTCAATTCTTTAACCTGCAATTTCTAAACTCTGTCTCAAGGTTGAGTGAATTTGTTTGGTACAGTCCACAGATAATTACATACATTAACTATTAACCGCAAGAGTAGCATCATTTCCCTTCCGACAAGTCTATTTAAACACTCATAGTCATAGACTATCAGTGATGCAGCTAGTCAGTATTCAGTATTTATTAGTTCTATAATTACAATTCCAAATGTTAGTATAAAGTGATATCTAATTTCCAATAGTAAAGTGACACATGGAAAGAGGATTTTAATCAGCTTAAAACCTCGTAGAAGCATTTTTATGCTAAAAGGAAAAGGGCAAAAAAACTTGTGACATGAAAAGAGGACTCACTCTGAAAGGATCCCCTCTCAATGATTGGACAAACATTGAAGCTCCTGAACCTTTTCCCTGAACAACATGAAGATACAATCTCAGTCAAACAGCAACCAGTGCAATTATGATGTTAAAGATAATCATCATGTTTTCGAATCAGTTAAATTGAAAACAGTGGAAAAGCAAGCTAAGTTAAACCAGATTACCTCCAATGATACATCTCTAAGCCGCCTACCCGTTTGAGCACAGCAGATGCGGACTACATGTTCATCACAGCTTCCGCTGATGACATAATCCCTTCCGTTCATGTAATAAGAGCGAGTATAATTCTGAGAGCTCCCTGTTGAAGTTATAGTAAAATCTAGATGGAGCCTCCCATCAACAGCTAACAATTGTTTCACCTGCCAATAATTTTTCCATGTTCTCAATAAAACCTGGAAAAGGATGATGTTTTGCGGAACTGCATATAATACAAATCCATTAAAAACCACTTTCATAAATCTTTTCATTTTACTGCTGTATTATGCCAGTTTGGCACATATCCCTCTTAAAACTATCCTATCCACGTGAATGTTGGGCCATTATTTGTATGGAACAATTTTTTTTTTCTTGTTATCAAATTTATAAGTTCATCAACCTTCTCAAAGGAAATGAGGGGGAAAAAGAAGATATTCCTCAGTAAATAATGAGCATTTTATATGCTTTTAGAAGTTCTTGCTCTCTTTTTGCATATCAAACTTTTGTTTTATAGGAGTATGTCTCCTGGGATATCCAAGGAAGTTGGTCCTAAACAATTGTCCTCTTCCTGTCAGCCTTCGGAATGGCTTCGCTGCAGGTATACAACATCAATCGTAATTCTGTAGAGTTCAGCCAGTACTTAAAT